TGATGAAAAACAAAGGCTATACTCAAAAATAAACAAATATTACCTGAGGTATCTAAGACTTTGAATAGTTTTCAGTGGGTCCAAATCTTTCTGCAAAAAAAAATGTACAAACAACTCATAAACAGACGATGATAGACATATTCACACCGTAATACCTAAAAAGACAGTTTACAAGTATTTTTTAGTGTTACATGTGACACCAGATTTACTACAAATAAAAGAACAAAATTAAATAAATAATTAAATAAGGTTACCAATTCCTGCATGTTGTTAGAAGTCATAACTATTGTTTCTAACTGTGGTAGGCTTTCCTCAATGTTTTCTGCAATTCGACTAAAAGAGACAAAATGTAAAGAAAGTCATTTAGTAATATTGGGCAAAGCTGATAATAGAGTACTATTTTACACTTTTTAAGTAGCATTATTTTATATCTTGAGAAATTATATGGTAAAAAATTATAATCAATGAATTTAAACTAAATGATGGTGCTACATGGAGATGCACATAATTAAATAAGAGAACACTATACCACGAAAGCATTTTTTTTTTCAGTTATTCAACCATTCCTTTTAAGAATGGTACTACTGTTTCACAACATACTACTTACGGATAAAAGAAAACAAAAAAGGAAATGTACTGTCAAGCACTAAATTAATTATTTTATCTTTTTCCTTGTCTTCTGGTTACTTACTAAACTATTATTACAAATAAAGAAATTTCATTTGTAATATTTGCGTCAGGTATAAAATGTGCCTGATTCCAACACCAAATGACAGAAAAGTATCTCACATTTAAATAAATACAAAGATACACAGAAATCTAAAACAAGCATCAAGATTTTGTCATCATCAAAAGCTTTGATGTGGATGGGAGGTTACAAAAATGCAGTGGATGCTTCTAACTTGGACCAAGACTAGGTGCATTTGAAGGAGCTAGGTATTTGTATGTGAAAGCAAAAATTTACATGTGTGTCACTCTGCCTAGATTTTGTTAGATCTTACCTTTAAGTTTTGTTAAGGATAACTACATGTAAATCTAGGTGACGCCATAATTTTCAACTCATAATATTACCAGCTTACCTCTTTCCTTTACTGCTCCACTGAACTTACCAATGATATGCATATACATGTATATATTAGAAAATGTTAGATATTGTATACCAACACTACACAACATTTCTTGATGTGCAGTGATAATCAGTACCATTATAGTAACAGAAATATCATTAATAAAGCATATACCATAATTCAAGCTCTTAATGTCTTGACGACACAGCTAGCCTCTTTATACACATTACTACATTTAATCGTGAACTGAAAAACTGTTGTTTCTACTTTCATTGGATTAAGTTAAGAATCTTCAATGTTACAAATTTAAAACTATTTCAGCAATGAGAAAAATACTGATGTTTTAATCATAGTAGATTGTCTACAGGATAAAAATATTCCCAGTGGTTCACAGTTTGCAGTTATCTGTGAGTAAGAATTACAAATGACTTGCATTTGTCCTTTACCTTGATAGCAGCAATGTCTCTTGTAGGTTGTTGGAGAGGCTTGCTAGGTGCTGGTCTTGTACCAGCTGGGGGACCTCCAGGGACAAATCTAGCAGAGAGATATAAAAAACAAGTGATAAATATTGACATCTGCAACTGGCTGCAACTTTCTAAGCATTGTCATCACTGTTCAATAATTAACCACAACTATTTTTATCTTATTTGGATAAAAAAAGTAAAAATTATTTTTATTTACACATACACATGTACATGTATAACAACTTACGTCTTTGCTTTTTTGCCTTTTGGCTCAGCTTCTTGACCCTTTTTGCTACTGAACATTCGTTTGGCAGCCTCTCTTTCCTACAGGTACAAGAAATTTTAAAAAATCATCATCATCATCACCCGTCAACTGCAAGCCATCCCCAACTTGCTCACTCTTTTGTGTTTTTTTTGAAAACATTTGACACTTTTTGATTATTCTTTACCGAGTGTCACCTTATCAGCTATTGCTCACTCTAGGGCAGTGTGCATGATGTTCGTGCAACATCAGCTTAGGAACGTAAATTCCATCAAAGAAATGCTTACTGGGTGGGTTTGATCCATTCCTGGACTTGCCTGCAAAAAGGACTTCCGCAGTCTCCCTGTTAGGTCTTCTCCAATGGGAGGGCTCATAGTATGTGTACATGTTGGGGGGTTTATCCTTCTCCATTAACAAAATTCACATGCAAGCTTACATGTACCTTGTCACAATTTTGCACATAGTAATATGAGACTCAAAAACAAAGCACTGGTGCTGTTATGTCTAGTTTTAAAATACTAAATTATATTTTGACTGAAACTTGCTGCATACAAGAACTAGCAGAATTGAGTGTTTTGACTTGTTAATAAATGAATGTAATACACCATAGCTCACCCTTTGTTTTACCCTTTGAAAGTCCAGCACTCTTATTTGCGGCAATTTGTGGATAACATACAATCTGTAGTGTGGTTTATTTGTGACTGGATTCCGAAGCAAGCTACAAAGAAACATTGTACAAAGATTGTATTACAACAGTGTATAATATATTATTTCCTATTAAAATATTTTACCTACATTAACTCTCAATTATTTACTTTGTCTCTTAGCCTTTGCCCCAACTGGCAAAAGGCAACCAAATGGCTATTTACATGCATGGTTGAGTATTTCAGTGTTTGTACCCTTTTTGAACCAAACATTCAAGGACTTTTCAAGGACACATTCCCCATTTTTCAAGGACTCAATTCAGTTAGAAAAAGAGCCTTGAGTCTATGTCTTTTTTAGTTCTTCCACAACATGAGCAATTTTTCTGAATGTCTTTCTGTGTTTGCTCATATTAAGCACTTGAGAATCTGGGTTGGATAAAGTTAGCACCAATTGCACCAACATGCACTTTCAAGGTTCTTGAATTCTTGAATTTGTATTTTAAAATTCAAGGACTTTCAAGTTGTGTGCGAACCCTGGTATTTGAACTTGGGACAATCCAAAACAAATCCAGCAAGTGGCTAGAGGAGGACACAAACCCGGAACTGCTGGATTGCGAGTTCCACTCCCTGACAACTCAGCCACACTGCCTCCCCTAACCTCTCCTCTGTTCTACTTGAAATCCATTTCTGATTTTCAATTCATGAAATAATAATTTTTGTGTATTACACTGTAACTTCTGGAGAAGTTGGAGAGGGAAAAAGAGTATAAATCATATTGTAAAAGTATTTTTCAGTACAACACACTGATCAGCCTCAGGGTTCTGATGAAAAACAAAGGCTATACTCAAAAATAAACAAATATTACCTGAGGTATCTAAGACTTTGAATAGTTTTCAGTGGGTCCAAATCTTTCTGCAAAAAAAAATGTACAAACAACTCATAAACAGACGATGATAGACATATTCACACCGTAATACCTAAAAAGACAGTTTACAAGTATTTTTTAGTGTTACATGTGACACCAGATTTACTACAAATAAAAGAACAAAATTAAATAAATAATTAAATAAGGTTACCAATTCCTGCATGTTGTTAGAAGTCATAACTATTGTTTCTAACTGTGGTAGGCTTTCCTCAATGTTTTCTGCAATTCGACTAAAAGAGACAAAATGTAAAGAAAGTCATTTAGTAATATTGGGCAAAGCTGATAATAGAGTACTATTTTACACTTTTTAAGTAGCATTATTTTATATCTTGAGAAATTATATGGTAAAAAATTATAATCAATGAATTTAAACTAAATGATGGTGCTACATGGAGATGCACATAATTAAATAAGAGAACACTATACCACGAAAGCATTTTTTTTTTCAGTTATTCAACCATTCCTTTTAAGAATGGTACTACTGTTTCACAACATACTACTTACGGATAAAAGAAAACAAAAAAGGAAATGTACTGTCAAGCACTAAATTAATTATTTTATCTTTTTCCTTGTCTTCTGGTTACTTACTAAACTATTATTACAAATAAAGAAATTTCATTTGTAATATTTGCGTCAGGTATAAAATGTGCCTGATTCCAACACCAAATGACAGAAAAGTATCTCACATTTAAATAAATACAAAGATACACAGAAATCTAAAACAAGCATCAAGATTTTGTCATCATCAAAAGCTTTGATGTGGATGGGAGGTTACAAAAATGCAGTGGATGCTTCTAACTTGGACCAAGACTAGGTGCATTTGAAGGAGCTAGGTATTTGTATGTGAAAGCAAAAATTTACATGTGTGTCACTCTGCCTAGATTTTGTTAGATCTTACCTTTAAGTTTTGTTAAGGATAACTACATGTAAATCTAGGTGACGCCATAATTTTCAACTCATAATATTACCAGCTTACCTCTTTCCTTTACTGCTCCACTGAACTTACCAATGATATGCATATACATGTATATATTAGAAAATGTTAGATATTGTATACCAACACTACACAACATTTCTTGATGTGCAGTGATAATCAGTACCATTATAGTAACAGAAATATCATTAATAAAGCATATACCATAATTCAAGCTCTTAATGTCTTGACGACACAGCTAGCCTCTTTATACACATTACTACATTTAATCGTGAACTGAAAAACTGTTGTTTCTACTTTCATTGGATTAAGTTAAGAATCTTCAATGTTACAAATTTAAAACTATTTCAGCAATGAGAAAAATACTGATGTTTTAATCATAGTAGATTGTCTACAGGATAAAAATATTCCCAGTGGTTTTACATTAAATTTCACTTCCTGTCCTGAAGGAGTGGAGTTGGGGGGAGGGGGGGAGGGATAACAAGCTCTACCCTGCAGCAAAAAGAAAATAAGTGAGAGAAGTAAAGAAACTAACATACCATATTCTATTGTTGTTTAAAAGCAAACTCTTCAGCCTCCTAAGAAGTGGAAACCCTTCCAGTTTGCGGATGTCATTTTCGGAGAAATCAATAGAATCAAACTGATCCTAAAATGAAGAACAACAAAAATGTTTTGTGCTTTAAATTAATTTAAAAAACTGTATCTTTTTATTGATCAAGTTACTGTGTGATGTTTCATCAAAGTTTTTTTTCCCTTCAGTTATACCCACAGGGGGAGAATGGTTACATGTATGTATGTGTTCCTTTAAGAAATGATACATTTAAATTCCTCAGGTAAACTGTAAATACCCAGTAACATTAAAACTATCACAAAGTTCAAACACCAACACCAATTTTTGCTTAGCAGTAAACTCCTCTATAATACCAGTGACACATACCAGAGTTGCTCCCAAATTTTCAATAACTGGAATCTTGTAACCTAAAAGGAAAAAAGAAAAGTTAGTAAGAACAAGTAAGACAGTCCTTTATACCCATTCTTGGATTACTACTCAGGAATTACTTTTGTAGCACGTGTCAAAGCAACTTTAACCTGAGATCAGGCTCTATTTTTGTTTCGCTTCGTAAATAACATTTCGTCGGGCATGGCGAAACGCAGCGGTAGCCATTAGAACCGCTCAAATTGGGCCTGATCTCAGGTTAAAGCAACTTGTTTTGAGCTGAAGCTTGAAGCAAAGAAGATTTTTTCAGGCTGGACTCTAGCAGATCCCAGTGGTCCACGAAACCTTACTTTTGGCTTTTGGGTGACTAGGAGTCGTTAATTTTTTTCGTGATATGATATGGTGGGCACCCTGGATTTTGCAGGTTTAGAGCACTAAGCTCCCTACAGATGTTGGTAGTGCACAGCCTTATTTTGGGTGAGAACTGAAGTAAAAACCCAATTAAAGGAGGCAACCATTTGAGTTCGAAAAGACTTCTGCATACAACTTATCAGTAGTTTTTACTGAAACCAATATCACCACCTTTCTATTACAGGAACAAGGGTTGCTGTTGTTCCTTCAGAAGGACAACAAAACATGATTCTATCAAATACAGGAGCAACTGCAGAATACCCTGCCACTTTGAAGCTGTATCCCTGGAAGAGCTAGATACATGAATATGCAGTTGTGCCTTTTATGCACTTTTCTACCTTCAGTGGCTTTAAGAAGGACAAATAGACACACTATAAGCCTTATTAAGTGTATATCAATGTCGATACATGAATATGTGGATACCTAGTGACTATTATTGAAAGATATTTACTAAGTGGATACGCGGATACGTAGTGACTGAGTATCCGCGTATCCACCTATCTTTAGGGGTTGCTTTAAGGTGGCAGGGTATTCTACAATTAAGCCAACTAATGCCGATAACATACACAGGCCACTGCAGAAAGATTGAGAAGCTGATGTTTAGAGTGCTATCCAAAAGGGCTACTGCTAAGAACATAAGTTTCTTTTTATGCATTATGTGTAGGTTTGACTTTCTAGTACCCACACTAAGAGACTAATGCAAACTTAGGTTGAACAGGACACTGTTTTAATACAACTCTTCCTGTTTTCCAAATTAAAATCATGACTGTTATCGTGATGCAGACCAGTGCATTTTCAACAGGAAAAGCAGGATGGTCTGTTTCATAACAGAGAGTCATAGTAAGTCTAGAAATACAGTTTCTCGTTACACTAAAAACAAAAGAAATAGGGGATACGTTAGACATCAAAGGTAAATATCCTTTAAGAGTAAATGTTGAACAAGAAAACTTACCACGTAAATCGAGTTCTCTGTCTCGCAAAGCGTTTGTGTATTGGGGACTTTGCAGAATAAGATCAGCTGTTAGCTTCATATTTAAAGCTAGGTTCTTTACGTGGAATACCGAGAATGGAAACCAAAAAGTTACTCAACAGTTTTTTGGTTTTATCTCAATAAGAGAAACACTTAAAAACACTATCTTTGCGAGTAAACTTAGTTTGTCACTAGCAAACCGCCATGTTGGAAAGGAATACGGCACGTGAACGTTGCTCGCCCCAGTACTTTGCTGGAGAGAATAGAACGCCTGGCAGTAATTCACCAAGTTAGAAGTCAAGATGTCTGCCACTCGGTTTGAGTACGTTCCTGTTGTGGAAGTTTCTTCTGACAACTTTTCAGAAGTGTGGCCTTTCATGCTTCGCGCGATAAAGAAATCTTCCTTCGTGGCTGTGGACACGGTACATATAAAGGGGAATGACTTTACGCGATTTGCGAGGACACAGTTTTATTACAGCTAAGTTTCCACTCTATAAAATTCGAGATTGCTTCGAATCTCTCAATTTAAGACAAAGTTTTCTTTTTTTATGAGGAAAATTTAAAAAAAAAATCATAG